TTTAGGAAGCTTTTATTGCATTATTTTGCTTCTAATGCGATCACGTAACACTTTTTGAGCCTCAGAAGTACTCAAAGTTCGCTAATATTTGAGAAAATCGCATTTTTATGTTTTTGTAGTTCCGACTTTCACCGCTAGATGGACGCCAATTTTTTAGTCCATGTTTTGACCTATTTTTTTATTTTCTTTCCTAGCGCTCTGAGGAGGTTCTTGTGGCATTATATAGGTTCTAGAGAGGTCACAGAACGATTTCTGACCCTCAGAAATACGTAAAATTGCCTAATTTCGAAGAAAATCGAAATTTTAGTTTCTCGTAGTTCCGCCGCTCGCCGCTAGATGGCGCCACCTGTACCGTTTTGGACCGAATTCTACAAAAATTGATTTTCTGGCTTTATTAGGCATCAAAACGCATCAAACCCTAATAGAAATTTGTTTCTAAATGCCTCAGGAACCATACTACGTCGTCAAAGTGCCGAAATATTGCACTTTGCATGCGCAGTAGAATTGACATAGGCGGCTCATGTACATATCGCAATGCTGACACAAAATAATTAATTACTCATTACCCAAACATTATTTATGAATTTTTATGATCGAACCAATAACTCGAGTATTAAATTTTATGGCGATATAATAATATGCTGAAAATTTTTTCATCGGGACAAGAAAGTATAGTAACGGCTCTGCCCATATAGAATTAACATAAAAAGTTCTCTTGAAATATATAAAAAAATGTATGAAATGTAAATTAACAAATTTTCTTAATGTGTATATTTTTAATTTTCAAAAAACCCGGGAACTGCAAACAGCTCTATCACATTGCCCAAGATACAAATTTTGTTTACAAATGGTTGCCATTCATTTATGCTTCATGTAGAATCGAAGTCATTGATATTTTTTACTTAAAAATGTCAAGTCGTATCGAATATATAATTTCACCATGGGAAATCGAATCATATATACAAAGTTTAAAAGTTTCCGATCTTCAAGATGTTGGAACAACAGGGTCAATTTTCTTATAAATTTATTTTTTCAATGTAGACATGAATACTATCTATACGAACTAAACTATTTTATACATATTAAATATAAATAATTTTCAGATGGTTAGAATTTCATAAAAGATTAATGTTATTGAACCAACAAAGTGTTTTAGAAATTAACGCTTTGCGGGAAGAAAATGTAAAGGAATGGTTTGTTTCTCTGCAAAAGGTAAATTTACATTGCATCTATGTATATTGCAATTTTTTATTTCGATGGCATATTTATTTTATAGATTCCAGTTCTTATATATGAAGCTATACAAATTGATATATGGAAACATAAAGTATTTCCAATTTTACTTGAAATGAATTCAGCTCCATCAAATACATTTATGCATTTTACTATATTTTATCATGAAGACATTGCAGTTTCTTTGTTAGAGAATGTTTTGTTTCACAGCGAAAGCGCGGAATCTATGGATGATTCTAGTTTGGATCTTGTTGATTATGCTGTTAAATGTGTGTCTACACTTCTTGACACAGGAGACATTGAAATTTATGAAAGCATAAAAGATCCAAAGTAAGCTGTGCTTGAAGACTGGCTATTTTTTTTATTTGTTTCATATACTAAACAATAATTCAATTATATTCAGCTCCTGTTTAGATGAAATATTAGAAAAGAAGAAAGAACTTGAATTTGACATTGGTATGCGCTGTATTTCTATTCTTCGTTATTTGGCCGAATATGCGGATAATTTACCCATTTGCGTGTTATCGCGATTACTTGCTACTCATGATGTACCTTACTTGCTTGTTCAACTGATTGAAAATCACCCATGGAAGAAGGAGAATGCAGAAGGTAAACCACTTCATATCACATAAGAGTTGAAATTATCATTACAATTCTTCAGGTGAAAATATGTTGTACAATAGTGGTTGGAAAAAAAGTAAATCAAATGAAGAAGGAAAGATTTCGAAAGTAGAAGCACAAATATGGTTCGGTTTACGAGAGCTGCTACTTAATCCAAAAAGTGCACCATACTATGAAATCACTGAACACAGATTATCTCAATTGATAAAGGTATATTAATATTGTTCATTACCTTATACAATATCCGAAAGCAACGTATGTGCACTAGTTACAGAAATATTTACACGAGAATGTATTGGATCAAATCTCTCCACTGATAGATTTAAAAAGATGGTTAAGTTATTTGACGGTTTCATCGGGTCACTCTAGAGCACCTCGAGCAGTAAATGTAGAACTCATACCACAGGTTACAAGTTCTTAATTAAAATCGTTGTACGATTTTGTGTGTATAAAATATTAATTCTAATTAATGTCATTAGATAAAATCATCAATAGTGGAAAAGTATCATAAGAAATGGAAAAAATTGGCAAAGCATCAGTCAAAGTTCTTGTATACAACAGATGCAGAATTAATTCAAAACGCGGCGCAAATTTTAAGTGATGCATATGACTTAGATAAGTTAGAGTGGATTGATGTTAAAGAATGTTTTTTATGTCATGAAGAAGCAAAGAATCGGTGTTCTAAGTGTAAAGAAGCTTGGTACTGTGGAAGGTAAAAACCTATTTTTTATAGCTTTAAAACGGTAGAATTGAATAGTAGCTTGAATCACATCTAGCTAATTTTTTTTGTGTGCAATTATAGAGAATGTCAAGTAAAAGATTGGGAAAATCATAAACATATCTGTAACAAAATAACAGAAAGTGTAAAGAATGAGCTACACGATTAACTTAGGTTACTCCTTGATAAAAAACAGACGATTTATTTGTAATTATATACGAATAGTTTTAATTTAGCTTAATTACTATATAAAATACAAAAATATTAAAGGACTAAATAAATTTACCTACAAAATTATGTCCAATATTTTATTAAAAGATGTTAATGTACAGAACTCTGTTTGACGTATTCCATTACAACATCCTTTGCAGGAGTATCTTCACCAAAGTCCTAAAAAATGTATTACTTAATCCAAATGCAATTATTTAAAAATTCTTATGTTAATAATGTATTATTAAAATCAGGCATGGACTGATTACAGCAGTTTTAATAATTCGGGTTCTCTCAGCAGAGGGAGCCAAAATATCATCATATAGTATCATAATTCATTACAAATAATTTAAACTTATTTTACTATGTTACATACCTTTATCACAACGCATGAACACCCAACAACTTTTCTTGCTTTTCCGGCACTGTCAATTTTACAAAGACCAGCCCATTCACCAAGTTTCTTATTATTATCTACCTTAACTAAAGGTATTTGATGTTCATTACACAAGGCTTGTACTAGTTTCTTATACATTGGTTCATCACAATTTTCAGCCAATATACATAACATAGCTTGTCTCCTGAAATGAATCATTTAAAAAAGTTAACATTTTGTAATAGTAGAGATGTACAAAAATATTCTCTTTTTCCTCTCTTAATAATACAATGAAGCAGGAAAGAAATTTACTTGTCTAATGCTTTGGCTGCTTCGTGGAGGCCATGTACAACACCATCATGGATAAGAGCATTTTTAAGAACTTCTTGTAGGGCTGTGATTACGTCCATTGAACCTCCTGTTGCCATCGCAGAAGGCACATCATCACTGTAAATTAAAAAATAATTATTTTGTTTATTTAATAATTTCTTGACATGCACTACTTGAGGTTAATTTGGTACATAGCTGTAACTAATGATTTAATCAATAGTTCTTACAATAAATATATTAGATATAAGATATAGTTCAATTAGATATATTGTAGGAGTTATTTAACAGTTTGCAAATATGTGGAAACTATTATTTAATGATATATAAAACACACTTACTTTTCAACGTCTGACATGTTTTCTGTGTACCGGAATGCTGAAATAATAAGAAACTGTTAATGATTTTGATTCTTTCTTTACGTTTTGAAACATTTTCACACAAAAAAGGCAACGATGGTATTATAATAAATAGATTTCTAGTACACCGCTCCACAGCGTGCTTCCATTTACCTTTTCTCACAACGAAAGAGAAATGGCGCTCATTTAACCGCGCGTTGGTTACGTCTACTCTGATTCTGATTGGTTAACGAACGAACAGAAAGCGACATCTAAAAGCTTTAGAAGCTCTAACAGCTTCATTATCGACTGTCAGTATGCACGAATAGAAGAATTCTAAGGTCGTGTTCTACTTTATTGATTGGCGCTGTCGAGGGGACGAGAACTTAAATTAAATATTTATGTATTCAATATTTTGTCAGTACTCAATAAATAAGATCTAATTTTAGAAAGTGTAACTCTTATGACTGTAAATCATTCTACTTGTTTCAATAAAATTCAATCACCATATATTTTACATCGCATAATAAATTTATTTATTTGCACTTAAATATTCCACTTCACCATCCTTAAAAATAATTAAACTACAGTATACTTTATAAGGAATTTTATTTACTCTAAAGTACGTGTTGAATGTCTTAATAATTTAAAAGTAAAAAACCTTATGTTCAAACTGTACACCACTTTAAATAAAATACGCATACATATTACTTCTAAAACATCATCGCTATTGTTTAAATACATCTACCTATAAGATATTTATATTTACAATTACTCTTTTCTTACAGATAAGTATACAAACATTTCTCTTTACTCTGCTAAACTCTTCGTTGTATAGTGTACATTGTACATAAAAAAAATTCTCACTTACATTTGCTTAATAACTCAAAGAATTTTTGTATCAAAAAAAATTTATATCCTTCATCACCGGTTAATTAAATAATGGACACCACTTAATGAGTAAAATGCATGAGTAAAAGCTTTCTACAGCTCTCTTCTTCTCTTAACAGAATTACTAAAAGAAAAAGAAACTTTACTCATTGTATCTATATAAAGATGTTCCATGTGTCAAGGAATTTGGCACGTTGTCATAAACGAAAAACAATGCTATGTCGGCGGGGAATATCTATAAGGCCAACAGTAATGTGGCGGAGGTGGTGGAGGCGGCGGTGGAGGATGCGACACCGATGAGTGCTGCGAACTTGATGCTCCTGTTGGATACAGATGATGTGTATGATGGGGATGACAATTTGCTCCTGTACCTCGGGATGGGGTTGTTTCCAACGTGACACCCGCTTGTGCTTGACAAGCCATCATCAGTCCATGAAAATCGAACTTGTACGCATAGCGTTTCCCGTGCACCTTTGTCATTATATTTTTGTCGTAATAGTACCTGCCAATTGAAATATACTGTGAAGTAATAAAAATTGTATTTGTGTATTGATGAATATTGCATTTTATTTTTTATTCGTGTGAAAGTATAATTTAAGATTCTTTTTTCAATTTTCCGAGTTATAGATTCTTAAGCTATTTAATTTTTAAATTTCTCAATTTCCCAAATTCCACATTTTCAGATTTCGGAATTTCCCAAATTCCACATTTTCAGATTTCGAAATTTTCCAAATTCCAAATTTTCAAATTTCTAAATTTCCCGAATTCTCAATTTACTGATTTCCCAATTTCCCAATTTCCCAAATTGCTAAATTTCCCATTTCCCAATTTCGCAAATTTCTAAATTTCCAATTTCCCAATTTCCCAAATTCCCAAGTTTCCAATTTCTTAATCTCCCAATCTTTCAAAGTGCCAATCTCTCAATGTTCCAATCTCTCGAAGTCCCAATTTCTCAAAGTCCCAATCTCTCAATGTCTCAATTTTCCTATTTCCCAATTTCCCAATTTCCCAATTCCCCAATTCCCCAATTCCCCAATTCCCAAATCCCCAAATCCCCAAATTCCCAAATCCCCAAATTCCCAAATTCCTAAACTCCCAAACCTCAAATTTCCCAAATTCCCCACTTCCCAATTTCCCAATTTCCCAAATTTCCACCACCAACAAAAACACCAAACATCCACCAAATTTTACCTGAGCGCCCTCGACAGTTTGTCGTAGTTCATGTTCGGTTTGCTCTTTCGTTCGCCCCATCTGCGTGCGACCTCATCCGGATCGGTAAGTTTGAACTCCCCGTTGGAACCTTCCCACGCGATGCAGGATGAATTCGACGAATCCGAGAGTAGCTCCAGCAGGAATTGCCAGAGTTGAACCTGTCCGCCTCCGACCGCCCCGGAACCGCTGGCTCCAGCTGTTGATCCAATCAACGAGCAAGAACGTTGTAGGAGGCTGAACCTTTCTGCGGGCAAGAAACAGAAGGGCGCATGCACCGGTGACCGTGCTCGATTCGAGGTCGATTCATTGAAAACCTTGAGAAGAGCGATGGTCGCAACTATTCTTTGATCTTTCCTCTTTCTATCTCTATCTTTAGATTTTACTTGTTTTTACCGGTTCCTTTTATGTGACGCGTTTGAATCGCCGGATTTCAAGGATAATTGCAAGTTTGGTATAATTTTATACTGTATGTTATTCTGAGATGTTGAATTTTATACTATTTGCGTGGCAATATTTCGCGTGGAGATATAATGCGTAGGAATGTAATGCGTGACGATGTTAATGCATAGGAATTCAGTGTGCGGTGGTAGAATGCGTAGAAATTTATTTCGTGGCGATACGACGCGTGGGAATTCGTTTCATGGGGATACAACGCGTAGAAATTTATTTCGTGGCGATACAACGCGTGGGAATTCATATCGTGGCGATACAATGCGTAGAAATTTATTTCGAGGCGATACAACGCTTGGGAATTTAATGCGTAGGAATTCAAAGCGTAGAAATTTATTTCGAGGCGATACAACGCTTGGGAATTTAATGCGTAGGAATTCAAAGCGTAGAATTTCAATATATAGGAATTCGGCGCGTAGGAATGCAATGCGTAAGAATTCAATGCGTGGAAATACAACGCGTAGGAATTTAACGCGTAGGAATTCAATGCGTGGAAATTCAATGCGTAGGAATTTAACGCGTAGAAATTCAATATATGGGAATTCAACGCGTAGAAATACAACGCGTAGGAATTCAATGCGTGAGAATTCAGCGCGTAGTAATACAACGCGTAGGAATTCAATGCGTGGAAATTCAACGCGTAGAAATTCAATATATAGGAATTCAATGCGTGGAAATTCAACGCGTAGAAATTCAATACATAGGAATTCAATGCGTGGAAATTCAACGCGTAGAAATTCAATATATAGGAATTCAATGCGTGGAAATTCAACGCGTAGAAATTTAATATATAGGAATTCAGCTCGTGGGAATGCAACGCGTAGGAATTCAATGCGTAGGAATTCAATGCGTAGGAATTCAATGCGTGGAAATTCAACGCGTAGAAATTCAATATATGTATAGGAATTCAAGCGTGGAAATTCAACGCGTAGGAATTCAACGCGTAGAAATTCAATACATAGGAATTCAACGTATAGGAATTCAACGCATAGAAATTCAATACATAGGAATTCAGCGCGTAGAAATTCAAAGCGTAGGAATTCAACGCGTAGGAATTCAATACATAGGAATGTAACGCGTAGGAATTCAACGCATAGGAATTCAGCGCGTAGCGATACAATGCGTGACCACGCAACATGTAATGTTTATCAAGTATATTGTTCATGAAGTGTAAAAGGTACCGTTGTAAAGAATGGCAGCTGCTGAAGGATGGAACCTGCTGTCCTGCTGAAGATGTAATGGATGCGTTTGAATCCTCCACATTACGTGTCGAACGATTTACGCCTAATCTTTCACCGTGTGACTAACGGTGATTAATAGGCCTATCAATCTCATTATGATACTATGTTTCAACCAACACACACATGATATAACAATCATCTTAGTTTATTATTTAAATGATTCTTATCGTCCATCATGCATCAACTTTTCCCAAACTTTATGTCGCTTTTTGCAAATCAATTACATTATTTGAATATTAGAAAACATAGATTTATTACAAAAATAGACAATTAATTTTGTTGAATTCAAGCTTTAAAAAGTTCGTATTAATCACTATGTGGACCATCTTCATTACTGATTCATTTAATTAAAAAGCGATTGCTCGTTCACTTCACAAGTACTTAGATCAACATGTGGATACAAGCGTTATTTACAGATAGTTTTATTTCCCGTAATAAGGAAGATCCTTGATCGATCGATAAGAGAGTCACGTGGCGAACATTTTACACCAGCACGAATACACCAGGTGTATAGGTACAAAGATACGACATGAAATTGTGATAACCCGTGCCGATAAAGAGCGAATACGCGCGGAATAAAACGTACCAGCCGGTGGACAGAGAGTAACTGAGCGACCTTTGCCCCAAAGTGATTTCAGCCCTTATCGCCCCCACTCTAACCCCTGGAATACCTTAACACCTTCAAACAGTCTGCGACTATACCTCCAGTTTCACCCACTCTCATTGTCACGAGGACCAATGCTACCTTGCACACCGGAATTACTCATTTTCTTCAGTTCTTTACATTCTCGTTATTTATCTACCGTTTTACAGCTGCAGATTTCCTTTTCTTATGAGAGATATTATGAGCATATTGGTTCTTTCAATTTTTTTTTTATTGGTAATTGGAATTTTTAGTGGATGTGCAAGATTTGGGTTGATTAATTGGATGTCATATGTTAGGGGTTGGTAAGAGGATTTAGGGGTGGGAGTGGGATTTGGGGTTTTGGGAATTTGGGGATTTGGGGATTTGGGGATTTGGGGATTTGGGAATTTGGGATCTTTGAGAATTTGGGGATTTGAAAATTTGGGAGTTTTGAGAATTTAGGGATTTGAGAATTTGGGGTCTTTGAGAATTTGAGGTTTTTGAGAATTCGGAGTCTTTGAGAATTCAGGGATTTGAGGATTTGGGGACTTGAGAATTCGGGGTCTTTGAGGATTTGGGGACTTGAGAATTTGGGGTCTTTGAGGATTTGGGGACTTGAGAATTTGGAGTCTTTGAAAATTTCGGGGTCTTTGAGGATTTAGGGACTTGAGAATTTGGGGTCTTTGAGAATTTGGAGATTTAAAGATTTTGGGATTTGCGGATTTGGAGATTTGAGGACTTGAGGATCTGGGAATTTGAAAATTTTTGGAACTTGGAGATTTAGAAATATGAGAATTTGACAATTTATAGATCTAGAAATATTAAAATTAAGCAATTACAATTCCTAATTTTCACCTGTACTGTTCAGTTATCCCAAAGTAATTCTAATCATTTCTCATCCCTAATCACCGATTAAAAGACTAAAGACTATCACAGAATTTTTCCAAAAAGAAACGAATACTCAGACAAGAATTGTATCATTCACGGATCGAAAGTTTGTCGGTCCAGGTTGACGCGCGAAATTATACCGTATAGGGCTGAGATTCGGGGGATGTTTCGCGCTCATCAGGAAAACAATATAGCCGCACCCCGTGGCGAGCTTACCACCCCAAGCCCGTTTGAGTTTGCTCTCCTCTCCGCCTAGCTTGCAAGGAGAAGGGTGGAAGTGGTTACTGCAAGGCCGTAACCCCTGGGTGCCACCACCTTTTCGCCACCCTAAACACTCGATGGTTTATTCATGAGGGCTCTCTCACCGCGATAACACTGATTCGTTTAATAAACGGCCGCTGCTGCCGCGGAGTGGCTCCCCCGCCCCCTTCTGCACCCCTAACAGCACCTACAACGTTATTCAAACGGACAATATATCTACGAGGCTTACGTTGCCAAGACTGCTCTTCTTGCTTTTCGCATCGTCCAAAGGAGAATCGCTCTTTTCTTTGGTTCACCAAACAGAATAACTTTTGTTCCCGTTCACCAAATCCTGTTACACCCCCCCATTTTCTACATTCAGGATTTGGTGTTTGGAATCGTAGGTTTTTTACTTTTATTCTTTTGTTACTCTTCGTAGAAGATTTCGGGGTGAGAGTCGTAAAGTTTCAAAGCTTTATGTAAGATATGATTCATGGACTTTAGGTAATTTGAAGATTTAGAAGGTTATGGACTTTTTTGAAGTTTTAAATTTTTTGAATTTAGGAAGTTGAAAATTTGAAAGAGTAACTTAGAAAGTCGGACGGTTAGAAATCTGCAACTTTGGTAATCGATTTACAAATTCGTTAGTTTAGAAATGTATAAATGTAGAAATCAGTTTTCGTGAATGTAGATAAATTTTATAATTCAATATTCCACATCCTGCATTCCTCATGTTAAATGAGGGCTATATTTGGAGGGACAAGGCTAAGTATGTCAATGCCTACAAAAAACGAAAGAAGGCGATGAATCATATCCGCAAGTTCGGTACAAACGATCGACATCCTTGCATCGAATCGAACGATGGATGTGGATAAAAATGAACGTAGAGGGGAACGAAACTATTATCGTCTACGATATTTATTTTTCTGCCGGACCCTTCTTATCTCTAATAGATCGTGCCCTCGTTAAGGCCTTAGATAAGGCTGAAGTACGCGACTGGACCAGGATCGACCCTGGGGAACGGTTAGCCTTTTCCGGTCACTTTCAATCCACACCTAGACCCCTATTAACCTTTTCTAAGCTCCACGAATCCAGTTGTCGCTTGGATTTATTGCGAGAATTGTATGGGTACCTTTTACATCTATTTTCATGCAATTGGAAATGTAGCTTGCGTTATAGTAGATATTATAACGTTTTATTCTATGGTACATCCAAAACAACGTTACGTTTCACTAATTCACGTGAAAACCCAAAAGTTCAATTTATAAATTTTAATATTTTTCAATGTTCAAGTTCTCATATTTATAAACTTTGAAATTATCAAATTAATGAATTTTATTTGTAAATTCTTTGCATCGTGCTTATGTTACTTACCAGCAATGGTTTCCTCTTGCAACAAGTCCGGCGTTTCTACGCCGGTTGCTTGAAGCTGAAGATATCCTAGATGTCTGGCCAAAATTTTACCGCCAGAAATACCCCTCCAAAAGTCGGATGATAGTTTCAGCAATTCCTTTCCGGTCGATGGAAATTCTGCAGGATCCGGTGGTGGTTTTACGGTAAATACACGACTGCACCACGAAATCCACGACGCTATGTGGTTTGAATTCCATTCTGATGGATCTAGGAAACAATGTTTTTTGGCTCTACAATATTTTTTACTTATTTTATTCAAATATTTTTCAGTGTAAATATGAACCAATTCAAAGAAAAGACCTCTTATAAAAAATAGTACTCTTATGTTTGCAAATGATATAATAAATTCTTGTACATAAACTCTTGTACTATCATGTAGTAGTGTTTCATATAATTAATTTGCAAAGTGACGACTTATAATTTATTTTTTATTTTCTTTCTGGAACTATATTAATTTGAAGCAACTTTAGAACTCTGGCGACCCTTAGAGACTCTCACAAATGTAAACTTTATTGTTTAAACTAATAAACTTCGTTTAAAGCATTTGTATAAGGACATTTGTATAAAGCATTTACCAGATGGAACCATCACCCTCTCTGTCTCCATTTTTATCAATTCCTCTTCGTCAGCGCTCGATTCCGGATTTTTGTCCATTGGCATAAATTTCCAGTTTGCTCTCCAACATATCACCGGTTCATGCATGATTTCCGAAGTCTATTCATTCGTCGCAGAATAGAAAGCAGAGAATCAAACTCTTCGTGTAATTTATACCGAGTACTAAGTCTCTTTCGTGGATTTGTTAAGGGCGTGATTCTCGTTTAACGCGTCTTGGTCATCGATCTCCTCTTCACGAGATGCAATTTATTCTTTCAAGTAATTCAGGTTTGCGGTGAAAAATTCGTCGTATGATTTCTTGAGCAACCGAACATGATGCGGTTCGGGAAGTAACGATGATTCATCGACATGTGTAATACACCGGTTCGTTTTCTAGCATGTAAAAAATCTTATACTGCACGTAAAGAGTAAAATATTATTGGAACATTTGCTTATAATAATTGCATATTTTTTCTTCTAATTCTTCTTCGGAATTAAAAGTATTAATTTATGAGAAAACACAGAATTTTTGGTATTTAATTAAAAATAGGAATTTGACCAAGTTTCTTTGCTATGTTATAACTTTTTCATATTTGCATCTTGTCTGTTAAAGTTGTTTTAGAATTTTACTCGTCCGCAAAATTTCTTCCTGAATGAGTCTTCAGACCGATGACTTTCCAACGTGACTCGTGCACCATGCGTTTCACGTGCTTCCATGAACGGCATGCGTCATCGGAACTTACCGATTTCTCCGGTAAATCCTTGCTGCAGTGTTAGTTCCAACGAGAAAGCGGAAGCGAAAGGTTTCCCAGTTAACATCACTGGATGTGTAATAGATCAGAACACGTAATCGATGGAAATCCTGCGTAATCGTGCGTAAGTGCACCGAAGTATTATGTAAAACGTTGAGCAACTTCCACAAATTTCATTCTTCACTTTGGTAAGTTACACACTTAGAAATAGACACTAATTATTTAATCCATTTTTATATTCCATGTTGGTTTACATTAATTGCATGTTTACCAACGTAACGTGTATATTTAATTTCCCATATGGTAAGATTTTTAAATAGCATAACGTAGGGTGGGGGTATAACGTGGAATTATACAGGTAATACAACACGTGGTGATATAGTGAAAATATAACATGTATAACGCATGGTAAATGTGTGATAGCACCGTGAGTGATACATCGCAGTGATATAATGTACGGATGGTACCACAAGTGATAAATTAACGCATGACGATACGGTACGTAGACAACACGTGATAAATCAACACAAGATGCAATTCTTGAATAATACAGTTATACAATATGTGACGATGTAGTAGATGATATATGCGTTATTGTGCAATAATATACCAACTAATCAAGGGACAAATACTCCTCAAAACACTGCTCTATATCAAATTTAATTCCATTGAAATAGTTCACAAGGTTCAATAAAATTCCTCACTTAAAAATGTCTCTGATGTATACATTCTTTTCCAAGTAAAACTTAATGCATAACAATATTAACTACCATCAGACGATGCAATATCAAATACTCCAAAAATATCATTAAAATAATTTCAACCTTCCATCCTCAAATATTCACAAAAATACAGAAATAAAAATTTCATCTCCCCAAATGTAAATTCATCTCCCCAACACACCAAGCAACATTACAATGTCGCGTACCGTACAAAACTAAAGGAAAACACATTGCACCTCAGCTTTTAACGAATTATTTTTCTGCGTATTTTCTAAATATTAGCGAAAATACCAACGATTCACGAAATGATTCCCCACATTTTTTTATGGTAATGAAGATGCACGAATTGTCGGGATATTTGCCAAGTATTGTCGTCACGGTCCAGCGGAACACTGTCTGTGAATGGAGTTGGTGCTGAAAGTCCCATTGGCGGAGTACGGATTTCCCGGAACCAAGAAGGAGACCGGTCTGTTTCGGGGCGTACATCGCCGACCGCTGAATCACGGTTTGATCGGCCATTCTTACCTACTTTTTTTTCTTCCAATTTCAAGACGAGTCAGCCTGATCTCGTGCGATGTGCCTAACCTTACGAAATAACCGCCAACATAAGGACTTTTTTGCCCGTCGTGATGGACTCCCATTTTACGTATTCTGACTTTAGTATTGAACACGTATTTTTTCAATTCTTAACTAATTAGCTGAAACAAACATGTTTGCTTGTCGAGGATGAGATACGATATTGCTGATTTGTTATTTATGCGGCTTCTGTCGCATTTTAGAATAATTTAACTGGATTTCGACTGAGATATTTTGACGAGTTCTTTGCTATGAAGGTTAAAAGTTTTCGTCAGATTTATTGCAAAATTTTTAGATTTTGAGTCACTTGGGTTTTGAATCTTGGAAGTCTGGAATTTTGAAACTTTTGAGTTTTGGGACTTTGAGAGTTTGGAGTTTTGGAACTGTGTTTTTGAAGTTTGAGGAATTTTTCAACTTTGAAACTTTGGTACTAGGTCTTCGAAATTTTAGAACTTTAGTCTTTGGAATATTGGACCTTTAAGATTTTGGACAATAAAAATTTCTTTTGTAAAACTGGGTCTCAGTCAATAAAAATTCGGTAATCCCTAATTTATGATACATAAATGATTTCTATGATACATTAATGATTTCTAGAAAATTATCTTAGCAATGATGATTTTCATAAATTCTAACATAAAATTTTTGTGATATTTTTCCCAAAATTTTGTCCATTTCTTTGAAGTGTATCTATTTTCGTATTTATTGTTCTTTCATGTCTCAGCGATATTAGTCATCTAACTGTAACAGTAACATAAGGTCCAGACGAGTTTAATGTACCTTATATTTGTCACAGACTTTTTGTCCATACCATTACTAATTTCTCGGAAGGGCAGATGATTTTTAGTCATCCAAAGCATGTATCATGTTACTTGCACCTACAAATGAATATCATAAAAATTTATATGAAAACATCATTTAAATTTTCATACTACTATGAAAATTTTGGAACTTTCAAATTTATAATTTGAAGTGCAATAAACAATTAATCGAAGCAGAGCATCGATTTACTTTGTCGCCTCCGGGCTTTCCCCACTCAAAAGTATGTTCTGTCCCTAGTTTCATGGCATACAGAATATCAGCTGATCGCTGTCAAACTTCCGCCACAAATTTTTTGACGTTTATAGTTTATCTAGATTAAAATATTTTGGTAAGAAGTTTACTCACGTAGTACTACCTTTTTCTATTTTGAATAAAAAAGGTTTCTTAAAATTTTATCATTGGAAGTAAAGATAAATATAAAAGTGAGGTTAAGAGTTGTATACAGGGTGTACAGTGAGATGTTTCTTTAGATTAGAGGTAAAACTTGCTGTCAAAATAGGGAAACGAAAGTTATGCACAATGTCTCCTGATCCAACACAAGAACCTGCTGAGGCAACATTAAATGCACCAAATTTGATACTTGAAAATGAGAGAATAAATGATTCAGATAGCGAAGATGATGCTGGAATGGCAGGCTATGTGCCTTTATCTCAAATTCCTGCGGATAGTGACCCAATATTGTATGAAGATGAAGTATGATCATGATTCTATAGCATAATATTTATGGATAATGACTATTTCTCTTATAAAATATATTTTAATCATTAGGATGAAGAATGGATCTCTAATGCGGGTGAACCCAGTCAAGCATTACCAGCTCTCTTAGAATCACAGCAGGTAAATGTTTAGTTATAGGAAATAGTACTATGATATTTATTTTGTAATGTTTCATATTGTATAGGATTATATATTTGAAACACTGGAAGTGTGGTCATCTCCTTATAATCGATCAAACATTGATATGGATGCAGATAAAATTGATCAAGTAAAATCTATGATGGCATCCTTTACCTTACCAACTACGGCAATTCCAGAATGGGCAAAGACTATATCCGAAGATCAATGGAAGGAACAACTCATTGGACGTATTAAAGAGATGCAGAGTAGAGAAAAATAAATTTACATATTTTAATTGGTACCTTTACATGAAATTATTATGTATATAATTTGATACAAGTAAGAAATACAATTACTTTTTCATTTTTTCAGTTACAAATTTTATTACTGCATTAATCAAAATGTAGGCAAGTCTGATATTGTATAATGTATGATAAATAAAAGTATTTATTTTATTTTAATTACATTTTAATTGAATATTTTTATGAAGTTTCTTCTGTCTTACATTCGTTTTTTTACATTTCATTATTTGCCAATGTTTTTCATTTTATGTTTCAAACAATTGTTTACTGTTTATGATAAATGATTATATGAGTATGGGATATGATATTGTTCAACGTATGAAATCATGTTTCTCAGTCATACTTTGAAAGAACACACATGCAGCATTAATTGTTCTTAAACCAAAGTACATTGACACAATCATAGTTCAAGTTCTGTATTAATGGCAACAGCTTTCGTCGGATTTAATTTCATTCGTAAAGTGGCAATGTCATCGTCTATTCTCACTAATTTTCGGAATTTCTGAAAGAAACGCACCATTTAAATTTTACAGAATTAATAATTATAATATGTTGAATACATGATTTCTAAATTACACACTTCAGAGGTAGTTCCAGACGTTGTACACCAGATGTAAATCATGTACCCAGGAATACATAACATAGAGGAAAGACCACAAAGCCATCCTAACAAGTGACTCCACCATGGATACTCATATGTAAGGTATTTCACAGGGACAAATTTGATTATGTTAAAAATGAAGACTCCCTGATTTGAAATATTATTTTTGTTATACATTGAAGATAATTATGGTACATAACAGCAAATTTTGTACAAACCACACAAACAGCAGGGGTAGTAACCGTCCAACATATCTTCCACCAATAACATGGATAATAACCAATCATGTCGCGAATGCCATCATAAAAACGATTTACGCCAAATGCCCAGGAAACAGAGATGCATTCAAAAAATATTAAAAAGAGGAGGCAAAATCCGCTTATAGCATACGAATCTAGGAGTTGAAATACATACATTCCTCCCTGAAAATATCAGAATATTATTATCTTACATCATAGCAACAAAATTATACTTACTTCTGTTACACAGCTAAGGCCGATAAGATATGAGATAAGGCACACAATTGCAACGAATATCTCTTTTCGTTTTCTGAGGAGTCGTGGCCACTCATCTACTGCGGCAGTTATAAAGCCTTCAACTGTACAAAACTATAAAACATATCATTTTCAACTATAAAACGGATCCAACACCTTCGTTTTCATTTCACTAAGACTTACTCAATTACCTGACTGTCCAAGCCAATAAGGATAAGCATGAAAAAGAATAAGCAAGACCAAATTGATGAACCTGGTAATTCCAGAACTGCAGAAGGATAAACCAGAAAAGCTAGTCCTGGACCTAATAAAACGATTAAAAGCAAAGGAGATAATAAAAGTTGATTCGTAATAAAGTAGTAGAAGTAATTACCAGAGGCAGCTACATCCGCAACGGGTTTCTGTTGTTCATGAGCCATAAACCCAACCACAGAAAATATAACGACACCGCTAAGCATACTGGTACATGAATTTACTGTACAAACAATGAGTGCATCCCTGTCGCAGATGAATATTAATCAATAAATTGCTTGCAAATTAAGAAAAATATTTAAACTTACTTGTAAACGTTGTTGTTAAATTTATTGTAACTTCCAAGGGCAACCAAAGCACCCAAACCCAACGCATAAGAAAAAAATATTTGCGTCACTGCATCTATCCATACCTGAGCACACAAAATTCTAATTAAATTAACGAAAGATTAATGAAGGAAATTGTATACCTCAGGATCGCCAAGTTTCGAGAGGTTCGGTGTTGCATAATACCGTAAACCTTCCATTGCCCCTGGAAGCGTAAGTCCCCTTACTAATAAAATCGCTAACAACGCGTATGGGAATAACGACGTAAAGTAAACGACCTGCACAAAATTAATCATAAATATATTTCGTTTATACTAAATTATTTCTTAGGTGTGCATGTTTTACTTTTCCTGTCCATTTCACGCCTTTCCAGATACAAAAATAACACAGGATCCACACGACAGCCAATGTACCCGCCAGTTCCCATCTTATCGAACCCACGTTTTCTATACCGTCGGAAATTTGAAGAGTACGTCGTCTTGAAAATAACAAAATTCATAGATTAATTTTAACGTGTAAAGGCTATTAATATTATGATTAATGCAATTTTTAAAGATTAATGGGCTTCTTATGTAACACATTATGGACGCTTCAGATAATATACATTATCAATATTTCGAGGTTTCCAATATTTGTCAATAACATACAATATATGAACGAGGTGAAAGTTTCTAAAAATATTGACTTTACTTAGTTGTAATTTGTAAGTTTATTTGTACATGAAAAAATTATAATGGTTTAAGTTAAATTATTTAAAATGCTGATTTGTATCGATACAATTTGTAGTATGCCCCAGTAGTATACATAGACATATGTAGAATTACACATGGATATATGACCGTAGCAAATGTTTTAATTTAATAAAACCATCGTTTTTCGAAACGGGAATTAGATGGCTTATGATTTACCCCTCATTCGTCCATTAAATAAAAGAATACTTACTCCCAAAATTCTTTTACCGGATCCTGTAGCAATGCATGACTCAAATTACCGATCGATGTAGAACATATAGTATCCCCATTTTCGGGCCAACACAACGCTTCTAAACGTTCCGTAGGGGTGAGACAGTAACGCGTGTTCCAGGGATTACCACATGTTCTCCACGGTACATCTACCCACATTATTTGATAAGTACTAAGTAAATTGTATTTGTCAATGTTATTAATGTTATAGTTTCATACCGAATCGTAAGGAAACTAAAAAGTAGAAAAGCGCCCATGCCAGGATAATAATGTAATAAACGTTCGTCCAACAAGAAATTACACAGGTAGCGTATCCAATACCTGTTCGAAAGATCGAAGGCTTATAGTATTTGCTCATTTCAGTAAAGCAATTTACAAATAGAGACCTTTGAAAATTGGAGCTATCTTAAATACACCCAGTCCGCCTATCGTCATCATTTGTCCTAAAGACAATTCCATGAGGAACATGGGTACGCCGGCAAGTGCGAGAGCGATAAAGTAAGGCACCATGAAAGCACCGCCACCATTTTTGTAACAAAGGTAAGGAAATCGCCATAAGTTTCCTAAGCCTATTGCCAGTCCTATTACGGATAGGATGAATTCAACCTTCAAATATTTCAAACATGTTAGTCTTATTCTTCGAATATTCATAACTCGCTGTATTCACCTTGCTACTCCAGGTTCCTCGATCCGGTAGCTGTTTGGTCTCTTTGACAGCGGAAGATTGTAAACATTGAATTGCCTCGAAACGAAAATCTTGTTCTTTGCTGCCATTTGACACTCTCGTGGGTGGTTCAGCGAAAAGAGCTTTTAATTCTTGGACAGGATTCACGGGCTTATGTGGCAGAGGACTTGTGGACCTGTCTACCTTGGGCACTTTTGCTGATCCGCTCGAAGGCATTATTTTTCTCCGGAATACAAAGTCGATTGAATTCACCTCATCCTCTCAGGTTTCGTTCGTATCTAAAAATATGGATAACGATGGTCGAAAATATTTAATATTCGAAGAAATTTTCTCTGGAGTATTTCTCAACGTATCAACACCTGGTCCAGGCACCCTCGCGAAACACCGATTAAGTTATTTAATAATTCTTCGACGCAAAGTAGAGTTTACGAGTAAAAGGTGACTCGATCATTTCTGGAGAACTTTGAATATCCAGCGGTCATCGTCGTTACGTGAGACACTTTTGTAGAAGGGTCTTGATGATGATGGATGACGGACAATGAGCCACTTCCGGGAATCACGTTTGTCAAACGTTGTTCCCATCGGGCAACCTTGTCCCATTTTAGATTAACCATCAGTGAAAGAAACGATGTCATCGGAGATCATCGCATGAAACAACGTATCGATAGACGTCTCCATAATAAAATTTTACCGATTTAAATTTACCATGTGGGTTGCAGAGAATACGTCTGTAATTCTGTCCATCTTAAACGATTCACTCCCGATAATTTGTTACACGATGGTAAATAGAAAATCTTAGAAAAGCTCCTAAGTATAAACAAACTGTCACGATCATTAACAAATTCATGGGTGCAATGTCCTTTTAAAGACACTATTCCGGGTGTAAAACAATTTACAACTTCTACATATCAATTGTGTAATAAGCCCAATTGTGGCTGGCTTGAACCAATAAAGATAAATGAATCTGTCAAATATTAGCCATATTGTTAATGTTCGGATACGATAATAAACATTTTGGTTACTTTTTTATATTGACAAACGTTAAGTACAAATGACCTCTAATACAAACTTAGTAATATTAGTTTACACAATGATTGATCTTATAATACATTTAAGAATGTACTTTATTTTGAAATCTTTCAGAACTATGTATTTGTAACAAGTTTACTTCGGAATTTACTGTATGTTAAATATAAATGTCATGTTTATACAACATAAAGAAATAGTTAATGTTTGTTGTAAAAATTAAAATTTCACAAAATGTGGACTTACAATATTTGTGTAGTAAATCATCAATATTATTATGCACACTATACATGTCACGAAAGATAATTATTAATGACATATTTTAGCAACGATAGCACCTACTAATTTATAACATCCATCCACTACTAAATTAATGAAAAAGTTGTTCAAATTACTTTCTGTATAAACAAACTTTCTTAGAAATGTCTTAAAATTTGAGGTAAATTTTTTCGAAAACAGTGAACAAATTTTGTTGAATGTTTAGATAATTTTTCACATAGAATTGCTCTTTTTTAAACTTGTATCAAGAGTAGTGAATCGGGCACTGTTGCAATCTGGCGGAAAAAGATATGTTTCACCATGCAATTCAAACAATGTACGTACGTGCACAATTTTGCAGGGAGATATTTCCACTGGACCGATATATTGATAACAGCCGTCGAAAAAAAATATTTACCGATCGTGTCGTGCGTCGGCCCGCGTCGTTACGTTCACAAATCGCGCTCGCAAACGGCGAGTGATGGGATTTCTGCTGTGCCCCTGCGGATCTACCCCACAATGCCGTTCAGTTCCCCAAGCACCAACACACCTATCGTTTCATTCAATAAATTAGTGCCACAGTGTCACTCTATATTTAGGTGCACTATGCGAATGGTAAGAGGGCCCCGAGCTAATAACTGATTGACCACACCGATGCGATGGCCGCGAATTGCTCCCTTCTTTCGCGAACGCATTTAAAATACAGTGAACCACACTTGATCTTGACTCTTATTATGCATACAAGTCCAAAAGCCTATTCGCTTAAATAGAATAACAAGATAGTAAGATAGTGCCGATAGTAAGATGGTTTCTATAGACTCCTAGCTCTACTAGGAGAGGACAGTACGGCGAATGCATTTGAATCTAAATTGCATTAATTGATACCGAAAGTTATGGTATTTTGTTCTAATAAATTTTTCTTTCTTTTATTACTTATTTAGTATTACAAGCAAATATTTACTGTAGTATAAATATTTATTTGTATACATATGTTTGCTGTGGAAGTATATTGATCGCTATACATGTCGTCTCAGATTTGCATAAGGACACGTATCGCCCAATAGCATAAAAAATAATGTCTACTGTTTAAATCTCACAAACTTTGCGACTCTGTTTTTAAGAAATTAATACAACTGTATAAATACCGAAAGCAATTGTATATTGATTGGAACTGAAAATGAAAAAAATTTGAGAACATGTGGTTACATATTATATAAAAATGTAAAATTTGTTCTAATTTCTATTTAAAATGTAATAGAGCTTGATAATCATATTTATCTGCAATAATAAAATTGTATTAATTGTAATTAATTGCAATTTTGAGCAAATGTAATGTAATGATAATAATTAAAATAAGAAAGTGATTATTGTGACCCATACATTTAAATTTTTTTCTATGCTAAGAATTCTTCTTCGACTTATTAACTGGAATGATAATTTTTTAAATTACAATTTTCATGCTCATTGCATCTTTATTAAAGAAAAGAAAACACCAATTAGGAAGAGCATTGTATTGCTTCATTCCAATTGGATACAAAATATTAGCATACGAAAGAAAAACCATAACGATAGTTTTAGCTTCTTTTATATTCAAGATCTAGATGGCACTTGTACGATAGTACTACTTCCGTTTCGCGCCAAAAGCCGGTAACACCATAAATTAGAAGAGCGCTGTTTTTTACGGCGAAGAAAATTTGGCAAACTTTGTTGACTTAGAAAGATATCATAGAATAAAAATGGTTGGAAAGGGAAAGATGTTTGTAGTGAAACGTGGTAAGTTATTGTGGAATGTAATCTAATTATAGATACACTGTCCTTTCAAGAAAAACAAATAAGTTACATCAGAAATATAATTGTTATGGTTTTGTTAAAATGATGTTTATTGTTACTAGATGGGCGCAAAGAAGATGTTCATTTTGATAAAATAACATCTAGGATTCAAAAATTATGTTACAATCTAGATATGGATTATGTGGATCCTGTAAGTCTAATTTAATAGTTTACTCAATGATTTTATAATAATTTGATTAATGTTATAAATTTGAATCTTTATTGTTGTATTAAGATAAATGTTTAAACATTAAAAGTATATTTTTTTACTTTTTTCTATAGTCTGCAATTACTTTCCGTGTTATCAGTGGTTTATATTCTGGTGTCACCACTGTTGAATTAGATAATCTTGCAGCTGAAACTGCAGCCACTATGACTACTAAACATCCAGATTATGCTGTTTTAGCTGCACGCATTGCAGTTTCCAATCTTCATAAAGAAACAAAGAAAAGCTTCAGTGGTGCGATAAAGTTTATATTTATATTTTTAAGTAATGGATCATATTATTATGTGTTTAATTATACTATTTCATTTGCAGAAGTAATACATGATTTGTACCATGTACAGGAACAATATCTAAATAAGCCCAGGCCTGTTATCAGTGAGAAATATTATAATATCATTCAAAATAATGCAAGTAAATTAAATTCAGCAATAATTTATGATAGAGATTTTAGTTACAATTATTTTGGCTTTAAAACGCTTGAAAGAAGCTATCTGCTAAAAATACATGGAAAAGTTGTTGAAAGGCCACAACATATGTTGATGAGAGTCGCAGTTGCTATTCATGGTGAAGATATTGAAAAAGCCATAGAAACTTACAATTTTTTGTCAGAACGATATTTTACACATGCATCTCCTACATTGTTTTCTGCATGTACTGTGACTCAGCAAATGTCCAGGTACCATTTTAACTACTATTACCAGATATTGTAGGATTCAGGATTTGAAAGATATATTTTTGTTACAGTTGTTTCCTTCTTTCAATGACTGAAGATAGCATTGAAGGAATTTATGATACATTGAAGAGGTGTGCATTGATTAGCAAATCAGCTGGTGGTATTGGACTAAATGTACATTGCATACGAGCTAGAGGTACACCAATAGCTGGTACACTTGGTGTATCTAATGGCTTAGTACCGATGCTTAGGGTGTACAATAACACAGCTAGATATGTTGATCAGGGAGGAAATAAACGGCCTGGAGCATTTGCTGTATATCTAGAACCATGGCATGCAGATATTTTTGAATTTTTGGATCTCAAAAAAAATACTGGTATGTTATATATTTATAATTTATGCTTTAAATATTTTTTTAACGTATAATTATGATTAATAGGTAAAGAAGAAAATAGAGCAAGAGAATTATTTTATGCTTTGTGGATTCCTGATCTTTTTATGAAACGAGTTTTGGAAAATGGTGTTTGGACTTTGATGTGTCCACATGAATCTCCTGGATTAGCTGATGTTTGGGGTGATGAATTCGAAACTTTATATACGCGGTAAAATATGTCGTGATTAATTGAACATATTTCAAATAACGTTGAATATTTTTGTTCTATTTCCAAATATTTTTTCAGCTATGAAAATGAGAAACGGTTTAAGCGCCAGATTCAAGCTAGAGATTTATGGACAGCTATCCTTATAGCTCAAGTAGAGACAGGAACCCCGTATATGCTTTACAAAGATCACTGCAATCGAAAGTCAAATCAGCAAAACATAGGAACAATTAAGAGTAGTAATTTATGTACAGAAGTTGTTCAGTATTCCAGCGCGGATGAAGTTGCTGTATGCAATTTGGCTTCAATTGCCGTTAATATGTTTGTGAATTCCTCTAACAAAACGTTCGATTTTCAAAAACTTAAAAAGGTGACAAAAATCGTTACTTGTAATTTGGATAAAGTTATTGATGTCAATTACTATCCGATTCCAGAAGCCAAAAAGTCAAATTTCAGACATAGACCTATAGGTAAAGTTTTAATTATCAGTTGGAGTACAATATATGAGTATTAGGTGATATTGTTTATATATAATTATTATATATATTTCAGGTATTGGAATACAAGGACTTGCAGATGCATTCCTTTTAATGCGATACCCATTTGAAAGCGAAGAAGCGCAAAAGCTAAATATCCAAATATTTGAAACATTGTATTATGGTGCCTTAGAAGCTAGCTGCGAGCTTGCCGAAGAAAAGGGAACATATGAAACCTACGAAGGTAGTCCAGTCAGTAAGGGAGTAAGTAAATTTAAGAACCAATTAATATGCGGTAACTGAAAATGCGGCAACGATATGAATTATTATATGCATGTATTCTTAGATTTTACAATATGATATGTGGAACGTTACACCAACTGATTTATGGGACTGGGCAGCGCTAAAAGAAAAAATTGCAAAACACGGAGTCAGAAATTCTTTGTTGATAGCTCCAATGCCAACAGCATCTACCGCGCAAATTTTGGGAAATAATGAATCTATAGAACCTTACACTAGTAACATTTATACACGACGAGTTTTGTCAGGAGAATTTCAGATAGTGAATCCTCATTTATTACGAGATTTAACTGAAAGAGATCTTTGGGACGAAAATATGAAAAATGAAATTATAGCAAACAATGGTTCCATTCAAGTTAGTATATTATACATCTTTCATTTGTATAATTCAACACTTATATAAAAAGCTACTATACAATTATAATTTTCATTGTAGGACATTGAACGTATACCATCTGATTTAAAAATGCTTTATAAAACAGTTTGGGAAATATCACAAAAGGTCGTTTTAAAAATGGCAGCGGATCGTGGTGCCTTTATTGATCAGTCACAATCCTTAAATGTTCATATGGCTAAACCAACGACAGAAAAATTAACTTCAATGCACTTTTATGGATGGCAAATGGTACAGTCCTGGACAAAAAGATAGCACATGTGTGCTATCTTTAATTTCTTGAAAACTACTTAGAATTTTTTAATTTAAATTTGATTAATATTTTTTATGTAATATTGGTATGTACATGTTGTGGAATATTACAATAATATTTTATCTACAGGGTTTGAAAACTGGTATGTATTATCTAAGAACAAAACCGGCCGCAAATGCTCTTCAGTTTACAGTTGATAAGTCAAAACTACGAAGTGCCACCAGTACACCGGCCAACCAGTCTCTTAATTTAGAAAGTGGAAACGATGAAGGATACATGAATTCATCAAAAAAATGGTTGCAAGATCGAAGTAGTGAAGATATAGAAGCTGTACTCGCCTGTTCACGCGAAAACGGAGATGCTTGCATGGCTTGTGGATCATAAATATTAACATTTTTTAGTAATATCTATTGTACTTAAATTATACTTTTAATTAGAAATATAAGTGTAAGATATTTTGTATTTTTATAAGTATATTTAAATTTAGTTTTTATAATGTGTGCGTTTTGAAAGATTTTGAAATAAAATAGTTTATCTTTAATGCTTTTGGTATCACTTTTATTGATTATATGTGTATTACGAGTTCGTTAATTATTCTTGACAGAAGAAAGCTTGAAATATCTGTTATCACAAATTTTTTGATCTAGTAATCTTGATTCACTGATTACACGTGTGGAATTTCGCGCGAAACAAGATGGTCAACCAAATAGGGAAAACGCTGGTTATATTTTGTGCACTCTACAGTCAAATGTTCGAGAACGCGTCACTACGATAGTCAAGTGAAATGTCAAAATTATAAACGTGAGCACGTATCATAGTCCGACAGTATTAACTAACAAGTAAATTCTGTTACACGTCTAAACTGAATATGTTCATTTTAGATTAATTTGTGAGTGATTTGGCGTCATGCCCATTAAACATGTAACGGCTTTGTTTTCCAACTGAAGAAAAATAAGAAAATAGTACTAAGAAAGTTCTCTCCAGCAACAAATTTGGGCAGTGATGCCCAGCTGATGCGTTTTAACATATTTGACAGTTGAAATTGCGTAATTGTTGCTAGTACTTTCTTATGAGCGTTTTTACGCAATTTATCTGAATTGCCGTACAGGATGGCGGATTTGGATGACTTATTTCATTTAGATCAATACGTAGGTCCTGAATCTCTTGCTGAACTTTGTTTCCAAGTGATCTGCAAAAATTTAGACATCATCTCGACAAAGGACCGGCGTGGTTATCGAAATCTTTTAAAAGGATTAATTCTCCCAAGAGAAATATGCGATAAACTTATTAAATACGTTTTACGAAATGATCCACGAGAAGAGCATGATTATTTCATTACAATTTTTAAAAATGTATTGTTAACCAAACTTAAACGTGTTAGAATTGTGAGGTCTACTATTACTGATCAATCAGTACAGATTCTTACAAATCATAAGCTTGTTGAATTAGAACTTACTGATTGTCCCCACCTAACAGAGTGTTCTATCGAATATATCAATGCAAATGCAGAGTGTTTGCAAAGCTTGACCTGCCATGGAAATTCTACACTTTTACAGAATGGACATAAAGGTACAAGTAAAATTAGCTTTCTGATGATTGATTTCTAACTAAATAAAGTAACATTCTTGTAAGTTTAACACAAACCTTTATCGGAAGGAGTCAGATAACACTCAATGTAATAATATTTTCATTTCTTATTAAATTTACTTTCGCAATAGTAGTAAGTTAGTATTCAAGGTTTCTTAAGATTATTATGATTAGAAAACACAGCTTAGGTAAAATATTAATTATTAATTTTATGTAAAAATAATTCATATCTTTCATATTAATTTTCAGTTTATCAGAAACGAGGATATGTATTTAAACTACCAAATTTACGTTCTTTGGCTTTAAAATGTGTTACACTTTCTGCGTCAGAATATAATATCCTTCTGGCAGGATTAACAAATTTGAAAAATTTGGATTTATCTAATAGTATTAACGTAAATGATTTTGAATTTTATCACTTGATACCTAATTTAGTATCTTTAGTTTTATATAATGTTTATATTACGCCAGAAGGTTTAGCAAACATTTGTAATTTAAAAAATTTAAGGTAATTAATCATATTTTGTCTATTTCTAGTTTGTAGTAAGATAAAAGAGCACATTGAACTTTTCCATTTTTTTCACAGGCATTTGGATATATCTAAATCTAATCCAGATCGGCATATATATGAGAATCCAAATACAGTCTTAGCAGACCTTGTAAATGGGTTGCCACAGTTAACTTCTTTAGATATTAGTGGTACAAATTTAGCAGGAGTACAAATAATGAATTGTGGAATACAAGCAGTTAAATATTCTTACTACTCTGAATTTGATGATGCAACTAATGATCTTTGTGATATACCTGGACTTGCTTCCAGAATAAATAGACCTCTACAATTTTTAGGTCTTTATGAAACAAGTGATGGGGCTTGTAGGCGACGTAATATTCCAGCAAAATTGGTAACTAATAAAAGGCTACATAATGATTATAAATTTTGCACTTTCATTGTTCTAATTATATTACACTTTGAAATGGCAGATTGCAGGAAATGCAAATGAAGATCAAATACTACTTGCAGCTCATGTTTGTATGAATAATAAGCAGGACTTGTTAAAACAAGTATTGAATGATCTTTATCATGTGCATAGATATGAGAATTGTCATAGAATGGATCAAGCACTTTGTGCAATATTAGAAGCCATGGAGAAACATCCTCTTCAAAACCTTATTCAAATATCTGGAAGGTATATAATCATAGATATGTTGGCTTACATATGTAAAGTATATGATACATTTAAAAATCTTTCCCCTACAGTGCAACACTATTTTACATTGTGAAAATGAAGGAAAAAGGAGAACTTGAGCAACGCTTAAAAGAACGAATTGTTCGTACACTGCTCGTTGGTATGAGTAATCACAGAAATGAGGAAACTATGATGCGTAACGGTTGTTTGACGCTGTGTCAATTTCAGTTACCGCAGGACGTAGTATGTATTGCAGTTTTTTAATTATATTAATGGTATTTTTAATACAGTACATATACTATTATGATTATTTCTGTTTATACTTTATTAGATGTCAAATTATAAAGCTTTGGTCGAACTGCTTTTACATTCGGCTAAGCATGCGGCACAAGAAAGTTACGTGCAACGTATTGGTATATTTCTTTTAAATACTTTGGCATGCCGAGTAACAGGAAGGGAGAAACGTTTATTAGGCAGTTTAGGTTGTATCAAGACAATGCTTGAATTAATAAAGTATAGGGTAGAATCTCGTAGATTTGATGACGTTTTAGAAGTAGCTTGGTCAACCATGTGGAATGTAACTGATGAAACTCCTATAAACTGTCAAAGATTTTTTGACGAAAATGGTATGGTTCTGTTCCTTAGATGTGTAGAGGTGCGTACTTTCGTTTTTTATCCAGTTTATCAGTCAAGGAAGATAATCGACTTATGACTGATAAATGCTATTGATGTTTACAGCAATATCCTCAACAAGAAGAATTGTTAAAAAATATGATGGGATTACTTGGTAATGTTGCTGAAGTAGAACATCTTAGAGTGCATTTAATGCAACAACAGTACATGAACGTCTTTGTAAATCTACTCCTTACTGTTGGCGATGGCATTGAGGTATTTGAATAAGTGTATATAGTAAACATAGTTGATGCTTATATTTTTAAACAAATCATTTCGTTGTTAGGTACCGTATAATGCTGTTGGTATATTGGCTCATATAGCATCGGATGGTTCTGAAGCATGGACAATCGAAAAACCTAGTCGAAATGAGGTGCTTGAACTTATGGTTGAAGCTATTGAACGATGGGATATATCTTCAGAACGCAATATAAATTATCGCTCGTTTTTACCATTACTACGTTTGCTAGATATATATCATACACCTCAATGTCAGCATTGGGCAGTTTGGGCACTTGCTAACCTAACAACTGTTTATCGTAAGTATATGTTAAATTCTATTAGAGATTAAGTTTTATTTGTTAACGTTATAATTATTTGTTGACAGCTCATAAATATTGCATATTAGTTATGCGAGAAGATGGTCTTGAAAAATTGGATACTTTAACGTCAGATCCAAGACCATACGAGCGTATAAAGAAACTAGCCCACATTGTAGTTGAAAATTGCTGTCGTTATACACTAGACATTAGTAGTAACACTAGCGATATGAACGCTCGCTCACTTATAGATGGGGATTATAATTTGGACGATTGAAAATAATTGTTATTATTATGATTCAAACTTAACATCGTCAAAAGTAGGATATTTTATAAGTATAATAAAGTCTTCTAAGTAACAGTGTAAGTAAGATTATAACAATATTATAAAATGTGCGTTTATTTGCCAAATTGTAAATTTCAGGTTAAATGCTCAAAGAGTCTTACTCACATTTTCATATAAAAATTTCATTACATAGTTTGTTTGTTACATATTCTAAAATATTTCTAAAATCTGCGTCAAATTATTAATGTATTAATAATATTAATGAGAAAATATTGATTAACAAAATATTTTTGATGTTTATTATTAATCTTTATAAAGATAATATTTAAATTCATATATCTTTTTGTTTATGTAAATAGTTATACTGTATTATAAACAAGAAAAAGCTAGAATTAGAATAAAATTATATTTCTGTATTTGAAATAGCAATAATTGTTCAATTAAGGTTTGTTATTTTAAATTTATATTAAGTTTCATATATCTGTATGTATCTTGTGTAGATATTTGTACCATAAATAACTGTTTCAGTTGCCATTAAATTTTATTTAGTGGAAAGTTTTTAAATAATGGAATAAATGAAGCTGTTATGTAAATAGAATTAAAATAACGAAATAAGCTGAATTAGGTTTACACGGTTGTACATCTCTATTAATTAAAAATTGAAATTCATTGAACTAATAATAATGTTATTAATTATAAGTGCTAAAATAAATATTATTATTTACTATAAATTTATAAGTATGAGTTATTGACTTCAAACTTCAACGTAGTAATTGAATGAATTATTCTTTAAATGATTGTTATAATCATTATATAACTTCAATGTAAATGTGTAATAAATTGCAAAAATTAATACAACTATTTAGTTTGTAACATAAACTTATACAAAAATTTACATTTAGTTGTTTTCTTATCCTTTCCAATGTCCTTTATCTTCAATAGAAATACACATTCGAATGCATTCCTAATTTAGAGTAGACGCTTTCGATATCGATTAATAATGAAATTTTATTGCGCACTTAGCAAGGTATTTCATTGCGCACTTTGCAGTTTAGAAACAGCGATTGATATAGAAAACAATAGTATATTGTAAAATAATTAATTTATGAAGTTGAAAGAATTTTATAAGCCTTGTTAGATTATTTGAAAATTTCTAAAATGACCTCTAGTGCCATCTAGCGGTGAAAGGTGGGAACTAACGAAACTGCAGTTTCAAACTAGTGTAGTTCACCCTGTTCGCCTGAGAGATGGCGCTAGGGGCGCCGTTTCCGATTTTCTTTCGTTACTAGCGCCATCTCTCCGGCGAATTAGGTGAACTACACTAGTTTGAAACTCCACTTTCATTAGTTCCAACCTTTCACCGCTAGATGGCGAATCATTTTAACATCCATAAACAGCAATTTAACAAATTTTTAATATAAAGTTTCAAGCGTATTATAAAGCGTTGCCAGAAGAATCTTCAGAGTTGAATAAAATGTAAAATTGCCTCATATGAAAAGAAATTTTAATTTCATGTTTCGACAGTTTCGTTCTTCGAAATTTTTGTAAAATCCATAAAGCCACCCCTAAGATAATACAATTGAAAATTTATTATTAATACGAACTATTGTTAACAACTTTAATCCTATCACCTCTTCTATTTATTTTAGTAAAAACACCTTTGTGAGAAATTCATTTCTCTCCCCGTTTTTCCGTGTCACTGCATTAGAAAAATAATCGAAAATTCCGAATTTCATGGGAGCAAATAGAACAAAAAATTTACAGGGTTCATTATAGGGGTTGGAGCAGGTAAAGCTGACCCTAAATTTCGCTCGCTTCACTTCAGTTTCCCCATCCTTTGTTTCCTCTACCTTTTATCGCTATGAAAAAGTAAAAACATCCACACGCTCGTATTTATCGAACTTGTAACAATTTGAAGTTATAAACGCCGCTTATTTACCGTGTAAAACTTCAGATGGTAACTGAAGCTATCAAACTGTGTTTCGCGGTTGGGGTCGATTTTATCTATGATTAGAGACTATATGCTAGTAACGTCTCTTTATAATTTAGATTTCGCGAGATTCAATAATGACGTATAACTCCCTGATACACGAGACACTGTACATAGACAGCCACAAATTAATGAAACCCGATATGAAAGGTTTCAACGTCGTGGAATTTAATACGATCATAGATTTACGTAACAAAATTATCGTTGATGACTTCTCGTCATTGTAGCATCCACCCTTATGATAATTAATTGTCGCGGTGCTAAGCTGCCTTTGAGAGCTTTGAAAACCTTGCTCTGCGATAATAAATTACTGTTGAAAGGATAAAAGATGGTGAAATCATCGGTCGTTAATATTATTTAATTGCTTTTATTCTGTTTTAGGAATTTTCTAATTTTTTATTTTGGGATCTTCAAGCTTTCAAATCCTTTATTCTTAGATTCTGTACTTCAAGATTTTTAAATTGAGAAGTTTTGAATTTTTAAACCTACAACCCTTCAAATTTAAAAATATAGGAATTTCACATTAAGGTTTTTCACATTAAATTTCATATTAAATTTTGAGGTCTTTAACCATAGACTCTTGAATAAGAGATCGACAATTGAACGTATGAAGTTCCTCTTCCATTTTCGTAATTTTCTTACAATTGTAATTTTCTTTGCTTCTACAGCCGTCAGGGTCATAGGTTGCATCTATATTTCAAAGCAATTTCCATTCATTTTCGCTGAAATACTTCGATGTAACACCTAACTCTTGAAAAGCACATATGGCAAAGAGTAAATTTTCAATAGAAATTATGAATTTCTCTGACGTCAGTAAGTAGTTTAAACTTATTTCTGAAACAATCTAGCTCTTTAGAAGATAAATTATTGAAAAACTCTATAAGGCAAATCTGATTAATTTTGAAGTGAGAGAATCGTAAATTGGATACCTTCGATTATATTCGATTTTTAGATAACGTTCTATTCTTAACCTTGACCACCTATTCCTGACGATGTCGATTTTAATTTAGATTCGACTTTCAGTCGGTGAAATAAGTGTATTTTTAAAGCGAGTAATTTAATCATTTATACTTATTATAGCACTTGTCATTTGAACAAAAATAGAAAATAAAAATTTGTAAATTTAAGGTGGAGATAAAACTGTTTCGTATCGCGATATTTCAGACGTCGTTTTTTAGTAAAAGGCAGTACTGAAATAATACAATTTTTAATTCAGATGGAGCTCAAGTCACCTTCGATTAAAAACAAATGAAAAATTCATAAAGTATATTGAAATTGAAATGAAATAGTAAGCTGCATATATTATTTCTGATACATAATAATGAGGGATGAAGAGTTTTCAAATATGCATGATTTTTAGAAGGTACGAGGTGGTGAGAAGTTCTTTCGGCAGAGGGCACCAGTGCAATCCGATGACGGAACTTTAAATTGCGAGAAATAATATCTTTAGTTATGCAAACTTTGTTTAATAATTTTGCAAGAGAATTAAGATTTCACCTTAATAATTTAACAAATTCAGTTTCAATTATTTCCTTACTTTCAGTTTGTAGAATTCTTTATACTTGTTGCAGTAAATGATTATACGATTTTCTTAACTTTGATGAGTTCATTATGTACTATGAATGTTATAAATAATATTAAGATTAATGACATTGAGATTTAATCTGAACGTAGATTTACTTTGAATGAGGACAATTTTTGAATTTTGTTAATTTCTAGATATCGATATTCTCAAATTTCTATGTTTTCTAGTTATCAAGGTTCCAAGATATTAAATCCCCAAATTTTAAAGTTTTGGAATTCTCAAATTTGCAATCATTCAATTTCGTAGTTCCTAAATTTGCTTAATTCCTAAATTTGCTTAATTCCTAAATTTCCAAATTCTACATACTTACCTAAATTTCTAAATTTCCAAATTCCACACAACCCAATTTCTAAATTTCCAAGTCCCACATACTCACACATCTAAATTACCAAATCCCACATACTCACATATTTAAATTCCCAAAGCCCATATATGCATATTTTTAAATTCCCAAATTCCACATACCCCTATTTCTAATTTTCCAAGTCCCATATACTCACATATCTAAATTCCCAAATTCCACATACTCACATACCTAATTTCCCAAAACCCACATATGCATATTTCTAAATTCCCAAATTCCACATACCTCTATTTCTAACTTTCCAAATTCCACATACCCAAATTTCTAAATTCCCAAATTCCACATACTCACATATCTAAATTCCCAAATCCGACATATTCACATATCTAAATTTCCAAATCCCACATACCCATATTTCTAAATTTCCAAATCACATACACCCCAATTTCAAAATTGTCAAATCCCACAACCCCTTACTTCTAAATTCCCAAATTCCTACCCATCCAAATTTGCAAATTTCCAAATCCCACAACCGCTTATTTCTAAATTCCCAAATCCTCCTCACTCAAATTTCTAAACTTCCAACCCCCACTCACTCATATTTCCAAACTTCCAACCTCCACACACCCCCATTTCTAAATTCCCAAATCCCACAACCCCTCATTTCCATCTTCCCAAATTCTCAAATTCCCAAATTCCCAACATCTAAATTCACAAACCCACAAATCAACAATTATCAAACAGAGGGCGTACTCAGCCGTACGTATCTCCCCTAGTAAAACCATTTCCTCCCAATTGCAATTATTCGGAAGGCGTTTTCGATGAATATCGGCATCCCTTTTTTCTGGATGGTTATTCGGATGAGTTGGACGGGCAGGTCGTCGGTGGGCGTCGTCAGGAGCGTGGATGTCGTCGCGACGTTGGTGCGTCATCATTGGAACGCGAGACACCGTCGAGTGAGCGTCGAGCCCGCGCTCTTCGAATAATTCGATTGTTGTTGATTTAAAATCGCGTGTTGCGCGTCGATCTCCACGTGTCTAATTCCCATTGAAATAAAATCATGTGGATCAACGTGAACACATCGATTGTTAACATTAAAGTTTATAATTAAAAACTATGTTTCACTCAATTCATACGTACACTAAAATATGTACTTATATATAATCGTATATTCACAATGCAAATATTTTGAATGTCTCGAAAATTTGGAAGCTGGAGTTTAAATCGTGTTATGCATTTTGTGATATTTTATGGAAATAAATTGTGCAAGTTTGACTTTTGCAAGTTTGACTTTTTGCAAGTGACTTTTGCAAGTTTGACTTTTTGCAAGTGACTTTTGTGAATGAAC